CTGATTCTGCCTTGTGTGTGAATGAGGTTGGGGTTAGGGCTGGGTTAGGGTTAGAGGAGCAGAGTGCAGCCCTAGGGATGGACTGGGGCTGGGTTAAGGGAGGAGGAGCAGACTGCAGCCCTAGGGATGGATTGGGGATTGGTTAGGGTTAGAGGAGTAGAGTGCAGCCTTAGGGATGGATTGGGGCTGCGTTAAGGATAGAGGAGCAGAGTGCATCCTTAGGGATAGATTGGGGCTGGGTTAGGGTTAGAGGAGCTGTGTGCAGCCCTGGGGATGGATTGGGGCTGGGTTAAGGGTGGAGGAGAAGAGTGCAGCCTTAGGGATGGATTGGGGCTGGGTTAGGGTTAGAGGAGCAGAGTGCTGCCCTGGGGATGGATTGGGGCTGGGTTAGGGGTAGAGGAGCAAAGTGCAGCCTTAGGGATGGACTGGGGCTGGTTTAGGGTTAGAGGAGTAGAGTGCAGCCTTAGGGATGGATTGGGGCTGCGGTAAGGATAGAGGAGCAGAGTGCAGCCCTGGGGATGGGCTGGGGCTGGGTTAAGGGTGGAGGAGAAGAGTGCAGCCTTAAGGATAGACTGGGGCTGGGTTAAGGATAGAGGAGCAGAGTGCAGCCTTAGGGATAGATTGGGGCTGGGTTAGGGTTAGAGGAGCAGAGTGCTGCCCTGGGGATGGATTTGGGCTGGGTGAAGGGTAGAAGAGCAGACTGCAGCCCTAGGGATGGATTGGGGATTGGTTAGGGTTAGAGGAGCAGAGTGCAGCCCTGGGGATGGATTTGGGCTGGGTGAAGGGTAGAAGAGCAGACTGCAGCCCTAGGGATGGACTGGGGCTTGTTTAGGGTTAGAGGAGCAGAGTGCAGCCTTAGGGATGGATTGGGGCTGGGTTAAGGGTGGAGGAGCAGTGTGCTGCCTTAGGGATGGATTTGGGCTGCGTTAAGGATAGAGGAGCAGAGTGCAGCCCTGGGGATGGGCTGGGGCTGGGTTAAGGGTGGAGGAGCACAATGCAGCCCTAGGGATGGATTGGGGCTGGGTTAGGGTTAGAGGAGCAGAGTGCAGCCCTGGGGATGGACTGGGGCTGCGCTGTGCCCATTGCCGTGCCCCTGAGCAGCCCCTGCCCTTGGAGTTGCGTCCCCTCCCAGCTCAGGTGGCATTAGGATGGGCTGTTAAGTGCGTTATCCTCAGCCCATAGATCCAATCGCCCAAGCAGATTACCATAAGTCCTCGGGACAAAAGAAAGGCTATGTGCCCCGAGCGCGCACTGCTGACAATGTTGCCCCTGAAGACCCTCCTGGCTCTGACCATCGTCACCTCCCTGGCGCGGGATGGTAAGTGACTGCGGCTGCCGTCCCTGCAGGAAAGAGTGAGGGGGAAAACAGTCCTTGCCCCGGTGCAGGACCGAGGAGCACCCAGCTCTGCTCCCCGCCTGCCGGCAATGGGTGCGCGGTGCCAGCAGGTTGAAGTGTTGGGAGAAGCCGCGGCTGCGCTCAGCTCGCTCTGATGTTGGGATCTTCGCACCGAGGGGATGATGAAATAAATGCAGCCGCGGTTGTAGAGCAGAGAAGCGAGCGGTGCCGCTGCGCACTCCGTGTTCAGTGTGGGTCCGTTCCCTTCACGCGTGGGTTTTTTTTTTTTCCTTTCCACGAGCAGTTTGTGCTCTGCGCTGCACAACGCGCTGAGCTGCGTGCCGCGAGAGGGCTCTGCTCGTCCAGCAAAACGGGCGGACGTTTTCCTCCCGAAATAAGCATTAATTCAACCTTCGCTACAAAAACCAAGCGGTCCTCCTGATGGCCCGGCTCGGGTGAGAGCGGCTCATCGGGGCTTTTCGGAGCTGCTCTGTCTGCATGTATTCAAAGCAGCGCTGTTATTTCAGGGCTCTCACTGTCAGACAGAGACAGCGGTGCTTTCACATTTGCTCAGGCGGTTCCTGAGCTTAATGGGATCTCCGCAGCCGCGCAGGGTCGGAGCTCCTCCACCCGCACAGAGCCCGGGTTCGTTGTGAGCTCCTCCGAGCGGCACAGCTGTGACACATCCACCCATCACCCCTCTGCCAGCCCTGAGCAGTGCCAACGGGCGCAGTTCTGTGCAGTGCATCGCACGGGGGGAAGCTGCCTGCATGGCACACGCACGCACTGAACCTCTTCCGCGGTTTAGATGAACCCCGCCTCCACTCCTTACAATTAAATTTGGCCCAAAAAGACAAAGGGTTGAAGGTTTTCCACCTCTTCGAGCTGTACCTGGGACAGTGCTGCACCCCCGTGGTGCCGGCAGCACGCAGCAGGCAGAGGCTCAGCACTGCCTCACCGCTCCTCCCCTTGCGCAGGTGCAGCGCTGAGATGCCACAAATGCGTCGCATCCAACGAGAACGACTGCAACAAGCAGGGCTCGCACAGCTGCCCTCAATACGCGGACGCCTGCTCCACCATCACTGCGCCCAGTAAGTCTGTGCCAGGGCTGCAAAGCTGCCACCACATCCTGCTGCAGTTCAGTTTTGTGCTGGAGGGGTTGCGTGTTCTCCTGCTGCACGGCTGCTGCACGCCAGCACTTAACCCTGTGTGCTCTGCCTTCCTTTGCAGACAGCGTCATCAAGTCCTGCTCCTACAAATCCTTTTGTGACCAGGCACGGCGCAGCTCCGGAGGAGCCACCCTGCACTGCTGCTTCAGTGATGACTGCAATGGGCCACGGGGCTCACGCAGCTCTGGGACAGCCACGATGCCACAGCTGCCCTGCCTGCTGGCTGCAGGGCTGGTGGGGACGCTGCTGCTGGGTGTGCCATGATGGGCACAGCATGGCCAGGGGGGTGGCACGGCCATGGGGGTGGCACAGCATAGCAGTAGTATAGGCCTTGCTCACCAGCAAGGCACGTAGAGTCGCTCAAATAAAGGCTGCAGCTGAAAGCCACGTTCTCTGCCACTGCTTTTCATTTACAGGAAAGCCATCAACCAGAGAGATAATGGCCCCAGCCAAAGCTATGGCGCTTCCTGAGGCTCTGATTTGAATGTGTGCTCATTGGAGCGTGGCTGACGTGGGAAGGCTGCGTCAGTGCAGTGCATGGCAGCCCTGGGCCCCACTCCCAGCACTCTGCCATGACCCCACACCTCAGGGTTGGGGTTGGGGCTGCTCATAATTTTGCCCTGTAGACGGACCGTGGATGTGCTGGGTGTGAAATATGAGCTGAGCTTGTCCTGTGCAACTATTTGCATTGCATGAACAGAGAAAACCATCCCAAGGTACCCCTGGCAGCACCTGTCCCCATCCTGACCCTGGGACACGGTTGGGTGAGCCACTCTCAGGGAGATTAAACATCTTTCTGGTGACTAATCCACGCTCTGGATGTCACCACCACCTCCAGGAGATCTCGCTTTTCCTCTTTCCACCAAGCTTTCCCTTTGAACCCCTAATGATTAGGTGTGTCCAGCAGTAAGGACCTGCCAGGTTGTGGCTATCTGGAGCTCTCCTCGTGTAGCCTGACCCCCTTCTTGGGATGCTCTGATGCAGGTGAGACAGCCAGGAGCACAGAGAGGGCAATGAGAACCCGACTACAAGAAGTGTGTGCAGGGTGAGACAGCAAAATGCTGACTGAGAGCACTGCTGTGTGCTGGGAGTTCCCCTCAGTGAGAGCACAAAAAAAAAAAAAGGGAACGGGTACTGAAACAAACAAAAAAAAAAGGGCAAGTTCAAACAGAAGAAAAGAAATAATTGGTTGTATGCAGATTCAGCTGTGGGACTCGATGTTGCAGGATGTTACCGGGACGACTGGGTGAGTTTTGCAGGATAAGAGGGTTGGAAGTTCTGGAAAGCAGGAATGTTGGGTCCCATGTGGGTCAGTGCTTGCAGAGGGATGCACTCTGGCTGCGGGGTGTCAGCAGATTGCTGGGTTCTGTGGTGATGGGACCTCAAGCCCTGATGGCTTTGCTGCTATCAGGGGTTTTCTGTAAGGTCAGGGCATTGCTCGTATCCCCAGGCAGGCTGCAGCACTGAAAATCATCAAGAGCACTGAAGACTCTCTAAATAAAGGAAGAGCCCCAGTGTGACCAATTGCCATGTGACTGTGCCCATAGAAAATTGAGCTGCCTCAAATCCAGGCCCTGCCGTGAGTCACAAGGTCAGCAAGAGGTGCCCCTGTGCAAAAATACCCTATGGAACAGTTTAGTCCTTGTGGAGCAGGCAGGGATGGGGGAGATGCAGCGGTTGGCAAGCAAGGATGGGGAGAGCTGCAGGGAGAAATGCCACCCCCATCCCATGAGTTGAAATGGCAAAAGGCCATCTGGGTGTTCCAGGCTGTAACCACGGCCCTGCTGGCAGCAGATGTGCAGGGAGGTCACAGTTCTTTGCTCCTGATGTAATGAGTGATGCATTCAGGGCTGCAGCTCCCAGCAGGGCGGGTGGCTGGACCGTCCCCATTGGGGAAGCATGGGAGAAGCCCCAGCTAGAAGAAGGGAGGGGAGCTGTGTGGTGCTCATGGCTTTGGAGATAAGGGTGGGAGAACAGCTCAGGCAGAGCCCAGTGTAAGAATTCTTGAAGAAACAGCTCCTTCAAGCACTAGGGGAGCACCAGTGCCTGTGTGAGCAATGCACCCCATGCACTGCACCATGGTCAGTTTCAATACCTGGGGAGAAAGTGCTCTAGGGTCAAATGCAGCTCTGGTCAGAGAAAGCGAGGCTTCCTGCATGCAACCTCTCTGCAGCTGAAGCCCTGCTGTCCTGACCACACAGAAGACTGAGGCTCTCCTGAACTGTGCATTGCAGGAGCTGGAACTCGAGCTGAGCAGCTCATCTCTACCCAAGGCTGTGCTTAAAGTCCAGCACCTCTGGGCTCTGTGCTGCAGCCGTGGGTTCCGGGCAGCACTGCATTGTGATGCTGTGGTTTAACCCTCTCCTGAGGCAGACACACAGAAATGAACACACATGGTTTCAGTAACAGCATTTGGGCAATCTTCTGTAACATGGCGAGGGGGGGGGGGGGGGAAAACCCTTTGTTCTAAAAGTGACCCTGGACATAGGAAGTGCTTGGGGATGAGGCAACGTGTTTACTTAACAACACTTCACAAAACAAGCCCTAAAGTGTATAAATACACTTGGAGGTGGGAATTTAATGCCTAACACTGCATCCTCAGACTAATCTTGCCTTAAAATGTGTGAAGGCAACCCCCCCCCTCCCCACACCAGATGCACCAGCACTGAGGTGCATGGAGCTGCAGACTGGGGCTGTGTGCTGCCCAGAACAAGGCTGGCTGTGTCCTACAGGGCTCTGCAGAACCTCCCTGGGAGTGCTGAGTTTGTGTTAACTCCCGATTCTGGTGCACCCCTCTCACCTGCAGGGAAGCTGTGCTGAGCCTCTCCCTGCTATGTGCACAAAGCAGAATCTGGGTGCACCTCCAGACTGCTGAGTGTGAGCACCCCCAAACGTGCCTCGCTGGGCTGACAGGACCTGGATCTAATAAGAAATAACGAGCAGCCTGGACCTGATGCACAAGTTTAGGAAATTCACCACCTGAGATGCACGCTTTCCTCCATTCTTGTATTTGCTCACGGCAGCAGCGTTTTCCCTTCTGCACCATGAGAAAGGTTCGGTAAAGCAGTGACGGTGCGCCGGGTGATTTGGGGCTGACTGTCGGACAGAACCCCGTCGTGCACCTGCCGACTTCTCTCTCACTTTTAACCCACTCGCTCCTTTATGCAGCGGGGCAGCTCCGGGAGGGTGGAGGCGGCTGAATTTCGGCTGCTCGGAGCCGCGTTCCCACACGGAACCCCAAATCCGACCCCCGAGATCACCGCAGGTGCGGAGGAGCGGCCATCTCCCGGCGCACCCACCCGCATCCCCGAGCACCCGCGGTCCCGCACTTACATCCGGGGCCGGCTTTACTAATGGGAGACGTAATTAACCCGGAAAAAAAGCGACGGCTGAGCCACGGGCACACCCCCTCCGCGCCCAGCCCTCCTCCGCGGCTCCGCTCGGCGTGCGCGCAGCCCCAACCCGGCCATGCGCGGGGCCGACAGCACAGCGGCGGTGCGGGGTGAGTGCGGGGCTGAGGGGTCACGCTTTGTCGCGGAGTTCTCACCCCACGCGCGGATGGAGGGGGGAATCCCAGTCCTTTCACTTCCCCCGCGCCCTCAGTGCTGCGCTGTTGGCTGTGCGCGCAGTGGAGCCGCCTCCGCTGTTCGCCCCGTCGGTCCTTAAGTGGGGTGGGGGCTGAAATCTCCTCGCAGCGCTTGGGAGCAGCGGTAACCATCGGGCTGGGGAGCCCCGCGCCGTGCAAGGCTTTGCGGTGGTCGCGCACGTCAGTGCTTGCAGCGAGGGGTGGTGCGGGGTGGGTTGAAGGCAGAGCGGGGTTTGGGGCGCTCGGGATGCGGGGCTGCGCTGGGCGGAGCTGGGAGCAAAAACGCGGGGAGGATTTGCGCTCCGCAGCTGTTGGAAGTGCTTTCTTCCGACAGAGTTTTTCGGTACGGTGATGAAGTGTATTTTCTTTGCTTGGTATCTGCGTATCCTCGCACACCAGCCGGTTAATTACTTCATTAAGGCATACATGCTTGCGCCTAGTAGGAGTTGCTGGGCTCTTCCTGCACCGTCTCTGCGCTGTGTCAGCTGCCGGAGAGGTGTTGGTAGGGCGAGAGCTCTGCTTCAGGTAGGAGGAAGTAACGCTGTCACCGCTGCGGGCGCCGCGTGGGGCCCTTGTGACATTCAGCGTCCCGTGTCTCGGATGACACCGGGACAGCAAAGACGGGACGAGAGCGAAATGGGGATGCTGTGACTGCAGATACGATGGGTTGCACTTCAGGGGGTCTGCCTGCAGCCAACGCTGCCACAGTGCAGAGTGCAGGGCTGCTGGGGGTCCCTGCAGCACAGCGATTGTGGCTGCTCGCTGAGCACCGGGAGCAGAAGAGGAGGGGGCACAGCAAAGTGCCGGTGTCCTAAGGATGCTTCCTGCAAAGTCTGGTGCTGCACGTGAGGTCCTGGAGCCATCGGGAAGCACGCGGGGGGGGTGGAGGGGGGTTGCACATCCCCAGAGATGCTGATTTTCTGTGTGGTCCTTCGTGTGTTCAGTCCCTCTTATTCTCCATCCTCTAGTGGCTTTCCTATGGCAAACGCGTACAAATATTTACGGCTCTGGATTTACAAAGTGCTGTGTAAATAGTAAACGTTTAGTGTAAAGCGAACCTCTTCCTGAACGGCAGGACCAGATGCCCGCAGGCTGACAGAGCCGGAGCTGCTGCTTTCATCATTTTCCTATGTAAAAGTGAAATTGGGGTGACTGTGAGCAGGGGTGGTGGAGTTCTGAGAGCTGGGAGCAGCGGGGCTCCCAAAGAGAGGGTGGGGAACGGCTCCGGATTCCTCTCAAAGAGGGAATCCAGCGCTGTCCCGAAGGCAGTTTGGAGAGATCGTTATCGTTATCTCCTCTCCTCGATGGGTTTTGCATATCCAGGTGCAACCCGAGGTCAGCTCGTGGAAAAGCTGAGCTGTTTGCATGCTCTGTTAACACGGGATGGCAAAGGGGAGAGGTGCAGCGTGTGTCCTGAGGAGGGGGGGAGCTGGGTAATAATCCCCAAACCGACCCCAAAAGCTACAGGAGTGCTGTGCCATGGCCCAGTCCCTTCCAATTCTGTAGGAAGAAATCTCTGGGTTTTTGCTTGCTGCAGGAGGTGATTCAGGAAGCTCTGTCTGATCATTTGGGTGCCGCTGAAGTCACTTGGGAATTCGTTTCATGTGTACTCCCTGACCCCACAAAAATAAACCCACAAAAAAAAAAAAAAAGGCAGTGAAATGTGAAGCACCCACATGCCCTTTTGTGTCGGGGCAGATGTGCTGTTTTGAAGCAGCCCTTCCTACTGAAGCAGCACCGTTTCCCCCAGCAGAGCTGTGATACCCATCTCCTGTGCGCTGATGTGGGGCTCTGAGGTCTGGGGACAGGTTGTCACCTTTACTCCCACCTCTGCTCTACAGCTGCACCGCAGCTCTTGCACAACACTTGCCACTCCACTGCAGCTATTGGGCTCAAAAATAGTATTTCCTCCTTTTCTGCATGAGATATTTTGTTTGTCTGAGCTCCTTTTGGCACCTGCACGAGTCACCTTCCCTTCTGCTGTCCAAACCACACCAACCCCAGCCTGCATCATCCATCACCACGACTTCTACCTCTATGCTTTAACCACAGGGCTCTGCTGGACTGAGCGATGCCCGCATCTCCTGCCTGGCAGTAGGGCTCTGCTCTGCTCCATGGGGATGTTGGAGCTCACAGCACCACGGGGCACTGCCCATAGCTGTCCCTGCTGACTCTGCATCACACGGCTCGCGCTTCCTGCTGGAGCTGCACATTGTTGGGCATTTCCTGGGAGTGTGCTCAGGCTTTCTGTAGCACGCAGTGCTGCTTTTGGTCCCCAGGGGCCTCGCACTGCCCACTCCAACCCCTTGCAGCTGCTCTGTTGTCCTATGGGGCAGCTCTGGGCTGTCACTCAGCACAGTCCATCCCTGCTGGCTGCAGTGCTGGAGTTCTTGGAGCGATGCAGATGGGCTGGAAGCTTTACTTTGGTGATGCAGTCACCCTGCGCTCCTTTCTCATTGCAGAAGCACGCTGGATGACTTCTGTGTTCGCCTGGCAGCTTCCCCACAGCACGAATGTGCAGAGGGAGCAGTTTCATTCTGCTCTCACTGCCTTGAGCCGTGTGCTGTGGAGACCTGGGAGAGGCAGCAGAAGTTGGGGCTGCATTTAGCAGCACGGCACTCACTGTTCCCTCTGATCCCTCCTGCAGGGTGATGCCAGAAGGAGCCCGGCATGCCGTACTTGGACCGACAGAACCGTATCTGTGGGTTCCTGGACATTGAAGAAAATGAGACCTGTGGCAAATTCCTTCGACGTTACTTCATCCTGGACACGCAGGCCAACTGCCTGCTGTGGTACATGGACAACCCGCAGGTAGGGCTCAGTGTTGATCCCATCCAGGTCCCCCTGAGGCTGAGCTGTCCCTGTGCTGTGGGACAGCCAGGTCATGGGGACAGCACTGTGTCACGTTTGTGCCCGTTCCACTGTGGTTTAATGGGTGGGAATGCTTTTTGCACAAAGCACTTGGGTAGGGTTTTTCCCCCGTCTATTGCTTTCCAAGCTTGGGGTTGAATTTTCCACTGCTGCAGCCCCATCCAAAGCCTGGTGAGGTCTGTGGGGACGCGTTAGGCTTTGCCTGCTTGGGGCAAAGCCACATAGTGGTGTTGAGCGTGGCCACATCTGGAAGCAATTCATTCACTCCAAGTAGCCCTGGTTCCTCCGCTGGGCTTTCCAAGGAAGCAGCAGCACAGTGGGATTGTATCTATTAGCAGCCCGGTCACCAACAATCCTGAACTCTGCATCTCTTTGCAGTTGCATCCAAAGCAAATAAAGCAGAATTCCCATTTGCATGCGTTTGGCTGCACCCTGAACCCACAGCAGAACCTGACCCAGCGATGCTGACCCTGGGTCTCTTCTGCCTTCTGCTCTCACCCCCCTTCTGTTGTGTGCTTTGCAGAACCTGGCGATGGGAGCGGGCGCCGTCGGCTCTTTGCAGCTCACCTACATCTCCAAGGTAAGGCCTGGAGAGAGCATAGTTGCTCTGTGCCACGTTATCCTGACCTGCTGCCCTCCCCAGGCATCCGTTCTCCCAGGGAAGGGTAGAAATGGTGCATAAAGCAACAGCCAGCTGGGACTGCATGGTGTGAGTTTGCTGTGGGCTGGGGCAGCAGAGCCGGGAGGGAACGGAGCAGATCCCTCCATTCTGCTGAGTCATGATTTATAAATTAAGCACAGATGAAGCAATGCTGTGGGGCTGAGCCTTCCCCACGTCGGAAGGAGCCGCGTTTGTAAATTATAGACGTGGTAGACTGAGTGGAAATTGCTGTAAGACAACGTTTGGTCACAAACTGCGGGGCTGCGTTGTGCCGGGGGCTTTGAGTCCCGACTCTGTGTGTGCCAAAAAAATGGGGCTTTGCTGGAGAAAACATACGTGAAGCATTACAGACTGGCTGGGAAGGAGGAAGTCTGTTAGAATAATACCCCGTGAGTGCTGTGCTTGGAGCCCTGGGGGATGTGATTCTTATATAAATGATTCCTCCACTTTCAGGGAGAAACCGCTGCTATTTTCCTTCAATTTCCTTAATTGCTGACAAGAGTGACTGCATTAGTCCGGCAGAAACCTGAACGTTCAGGGCCTTGAAAGCTTCCCAGCATGTCGACAGCACTGGTGCTGATCCTTTCCCTTTAATTTGCTCTGCAGGTCAGCATCGCCACCCCGAAACAGAAACCCAAAACTCCGTTCTGCTTTGGTGAGTGGGGGGGATGCAGGAGATGTGGTTGGGGTGCCCCACTACACATAGAGGGGATTCCTGACTCTCAGCCCCTTCCCTGGCAGTGATCAACGCTCTGTCCCAGCGCTATTTCCTGCAAGCCAGCGACCAGAAGGACCTGCAGGACTGGGTGGAGGCTCTCAACCGTGCCAGCAAGATCACGGTGGGTCACAGGGCTCCTTTCTCATGCTTCTGTGCTGTGTTCCCATCCTTCCTGAAAACGCTGCGCATTGTGCTGTTGGAGGGCCGTGCAGGGCAGGCTGTGCCCAGATTCCAGGGCTTTGCCCACAGTCTCCTTTCATTTTCTGCACTGTTCATGCAGCCGTGAAGTGATGGGCGCTGACCCAGCAGCCGGTGGTGTCTGCAGCCCCGGCGCTGCGGGCGATGAGGGATGGATGTGCAGCACAAAGCACCATCTGTGCTCTGTGTGCAAGCAACGTTCCATCTGTGTGCTGGGAGCATTTGGGTGCTGTGTACCCCTGTGTCCTTCCAGCCCAATGCAGGCTGTGCTGGGACAGGAGCAGAGGTGGCAGTTTGGGTGCTGCTCCCGGTGCCAGGCTCAGCTTCCTCTTCTGTCAGTGACTTCTGCTCTGCGTGCACCACTCGGTTCCTGTGTTTCTGCACTGTGCATGCATGCGGTGCAGAGCACGCGGCTCGTGATGGTGACAGAGGCAGCTGGGTGCTGCTCTGCTCTGTTCAGCACGGGGAGCTCATTCCTGCCGCACCGTTGCACTGTGCCATGCGATGGAGGCTGACAGGAGCTGCAGCTGCTGCCCACTGACTGCTGCCTGCATGCGATGTCTCCATGCGTGCGTTGTGAAACTGCTTCCTGCAGCTCCCCAGCATCGCTGTGCAGAGCTGAGCTGGGGCTGGGGGCAGGCAGGCGTTGGGCACGGGGCTGCTTGCAGTGCAGGTGCAATGTGCCCGCTGTGCTGGTGCTCGGTGCGTGGCACTGGGTGTGCAGAAGCACCCATCCGTCTGCTGCATCCCTCCAGACGTGCTGAAGCCCGGCCTCATTAAGGCAGATGAGCGCTCATCATTAAGCTTTGGCTGGAAGTAGAGCGGGGACAATTAAAGGAGCGATTGTCCCACAAAGGCACCGGGCTGCAGAAGCGATGCAGGCTCCTGTGGGGTGATGCTGAATTATTCACCACCTCTCATGTCTGTGCCTCCTGTGAACCGCTGGGGTAGGGGCCGCACCCTCCTTAATTGGGCTGTCGGCCCCATTGATGTTTTTTAAAGGGCCAAGGCTGCGTTTTGGCTGGGAACACCAATGTGGAGTCGCCCGTGGATCACGCTCCCTTTCCTCCCCTTGCAGGTCCCAAAGGGTGGTGCTGCTGCACCCCCCACCACTGAGGTCACGAAGCCCCCAGCAGTGCTGCAGGCACAGGACAGGAAGCCCCCAGTGGCTTACAAGACTGAAATCATCGGTGGGGTGGTGGTGCACACCCCCATCTCCATCAGCCAGGTGAGCTGTGGGCAATGCTGCACTGCTGGGGTGTCCCCAAGGATGGGGTTGTGCTGGTGTGTCCAGCTGGTGTCTGGTTGGGAAAGTGTGGGAGGAAGAGAAGCAGCCCAGGAGTGCTTGGTGTGTGCCTGCCCTGGCTCAGCACGAGGCTTTGGAGGAGGCTGTTCCTGGCTGTGCTGCTGGAGGCTGCTTGGCACTTTTGGTTTTGGAAAGCAGTGCTGCGCCTGCAATGTCTTCCCACTCAGAGTGTATAAATAGCTGCTCTCAGCACCTCGAGCATCTCTGCTGTGTCTCACGCTGAGGAGTGATGAGACATGGGGGTGTGAGGAGGAGGGAACCCTCTGCTCCCTGCCCACCCTGTGGCACTGCCACCTTCCAGGCCTCGACTGCTTGTGTTGGGGACTGACAGCCACTCTTCCCACCGAGATGTGGGGATGGGTTCTGCCCCTCAGCCCCATCCTCAGTCCTTTCCTGGCTTTTTTTTTTTCTTTTTTTTTCAGAGGAGTTGTTTTTAGAGGCAATACATCAGTACTGGGCTGGGCTATTTTCAGTGCACTCTGTTTAGCCTTAGGGGAGATGGCTGCTGCTCCCACTGCCATTTCCTGGGCACACTCACCATTTCCTGGAGCTGTCCCTGCACAGTTCAGTGACTGCACTGGGGAGTCACACTCCCATCACCCTCAGCACACAGCAGCATCACCCACTCAGCTCCTGGGGCAGTGCTGCAGATGTGCCCAAGGTACAGAAGGAGGTGGTTTGGGGCACGGGGAGCTGCTCAACAGGGGTTTGCACAGATCCAACAAGCGCTCTGTGCTGCCCACTGCAGCCTGAGGTGGCTGAACTGGTCCCTGTCCTGGGAAAACCAAAGCACTGTCTTGAAGGTGCTGGAAGGAGCAGTGTGAGCACAGGGCGGTTGCTGGTTTAACCACACGGTGCCATATAAGGGTGGTGCGGGTGTGAGCCAGCAGTGGCTGCTATGGCAATGTGCAAACCTCAGACTGAGAGCGGGAGGAAGGGGCTGGAAGGAGCTGAGCACGGATGTTTGAGCTCAGCTACAATCTGTGCTGGGTGGGGACACGGTGGTGTTCCTACCTGGGCTATAAGCATCCGGTTTCCAGCAAGGGAATAGCAGCTTGGCCATAAGAAGTGGAACTTGAAGGTCAATGAGCCCTTTTGCTGTGTCCAGGTCATGCTCTGGCTCGCTCTCCCTCCAGTAACTGTGTGCTCCCATTTGCAGAATGGTGGGGATGGAGCAGAGGGCAGCGACCCGACTGCGCATCCACTGCTGCGCCGCTCACAGAGTTACATCCCTGCCTCGGCCAGCAAGCCACCCGCTGGGCCACCGGCCATCAAGAGTGGCTTCTGCGTGAAGCAGGGCAATGTGGTGAGTGCTGGATGGGTGCAGGCTGCTCCCTCAGGCTGGAGATGCTCCAGGGCATCCCTGGTGTGGGGAGTGTGGAGCCCAACGCTGAGCGGTCCCCTCTGTTTTTCAGAGGAAGAGCTGGAAGCGCCGCTACTTTGTCCTCGATGAGTTTTCCATCAGTTACTACAAATGTGAGCAGGTGAGCAGCCGGCTGTGCTGGAGCTGAGTGCTGGGACTGCTGTGTCCCAATGGAACGGTGATCCCAGTACAGCCCCTCTCATCCCACAGGACAAGGAGCCGCTGCGTTCCATCCTGCTGAAGGACATCTGCAAGACCCACGAGTGCCTGGTCAAATCCGGGTAAGGCTTCTGTGGGGGGAGGGTGGGAGTTTGGCTGCCACCCCCATCCCAAATCCCCTTCAAATCTTGAATTTCCCCTATGGGAACACTCCGGCTGTTGCGTGGGGGCTGCGTGACTCCCATTTGCTTCAGCTCTCCAGTGTTATCCCCATGTCCTGGGTGCGGCTTCTTGCTTTTTCCGGACACTTTGCAGACATCTCAGTTGTGTTTTGCTTTGAAGAAACCCATGTTCCATCAGTCCCCAGGTGCAGGCGGGGGTGCTGGGACGCAGGATATTGCAGCTGCTCTCCGCCCCGCTGATAGGCATCTCTGTGCTGGGTGTGCTCACACGGTGCTTATCTCCCAATGGAGGAGCTGCTCAGTGCGTAGCACTGTGTGACAGCAGCACAGAGGTGTTCCTGAGGCAGCTGGGAGCCACGCACAGGCGTATTCCCTGCACCATCACAGGTGGCTGCATAGCATCTTGGAAACCATTTGTTCGGTGGATGCTGATAAAATCAACCTGGAAGAGTTGCAGTGAGAAACGAACTCAGAAAACAAACCTTGTTAGCTGAAGTACAAATAGAATATATTAACGTAGATTCATCTCTCATGATGAGACCCTCACCCTGAATGTGTCCCCGTATTCTCCAGTTATAAGAATGTATGTGGACATTTGCTACCCAGTGTGGCATCACCAGTGCCTCTTTCTCACTGTTTCAGTGACCTCCTGATGCGGGACAACCTTTTTGAGATCATCACGAGCTCCAGGACCTTCTACATCCAGGTATGGGGCGGGATGGTGGTGGGCACAGGGCTCTGCTGGAGCCATTCCCAGTGGAACTCCTGCACTCTGGGCATCGTTCCTCCCATCCTATAGGCAGACAGCCCCGAGGACATGCACAGCTGGATCCGTGCCATCGCAGGGGCAGTGCAGGCCCTGAAGACCCGCCCGAGGGTAGGTGAAACCCATCTGTATCCTATTTGGCATCTAGCTGCTGATTTACGAGCTGCAAAGGACGTGTAGGGCTGTGGTCCCAGAGCTTTGCAAGTGGCTCCGGAAGCACAGAGAAACCAACCAACATTCTCTCCTTGCAGGAGATCTCCTTCATGCGCTCTTGTTCCATGACCAAACCCGGGGGCAGTTCGGTGCCATCGCAGCCACAGGAGAGGAGAACACCTTACAAGGCTCCAGCCACTGCCTGGCAGCCCTGGACGCCGGTACCACAGGACAGGAGGCAGCCCGAGGTGCCCAGTAGGGATGCAGTGTTTGTGCCGGCGCTGACGGAGCGCGATGGAGCTCCTGTGCCAGGTCAGCGCCTGCGGCACCGCTCGGAACCACAGCACCACAAGGAGAAGACATTCCTCTTCGACCTGGATGATGACAGCATCCGGACCTCTGACGTCTGACGGCGCCTCTGCCCCACGGTGTGCCCCCTGCATGGGTGTGTGGCATCATTTCTCCCCGAGCACCAAATATGGAAGACAGTGCAGGAGGATTTGGAAGCACGAGGGGGGTGAGGCGGCCTTTCTTCTCTTTGGAAGAACGTTCATCTCCCTTCTGTGCCACTCAGTCTTCCCCAACACAGCTGTGCCTGGAGCAGGAGCTGCACTGCAGCCTGCGGTGTGGATGATGTTTCTTGGAGATCGGCTCCATGCACTGCCTGACTGATGGGGTACCAGCACACCCAGTGGCATCTAACCTCCTCCTTTTGTATCTGTGGCCATTGTTACATCCCAGTGAGGTGTGCTGCTCCTGGGGGACAGCGGTGACCGGGGCTGTGGTATCCTCAGGTTGTTCTGGGGTTTGTTAGGCACCAAAAAGACCCGTCTGAGTGAAGTGCCGTGAGCACAAAGCAACAAAAGCTGAGAGTGTAGATGAACCCCGGGAGACTCGTCCAACCACCCTGCACTGACTCAGAATGAAAATGAGAAGAACCTTTCTTAGCAGTGTGAGCCGGTCATTTCCATAAGCAAATATCCTCCTGTGGGAGGTGTGACACATAGCACATGGAAAATGCAAGTCTTCCCCATGGAGTGATTGTTTGATGCCTTCACCCCGACAGCACATGTAGGATGCCATGGGTGCTGCAAGCAGTGCTTGGTGCTGTGTGCACTCAGAGCTGCATGCAAAGCAGGGGCTCTGCTTCCCCTCCTAATGCACCACAGCAGTGCTGGAGCTGAGCTGCCCAAACCTGCATTGCAGCTGAAGGATCAGGGTTGCAGGTGTGGGGCTGCACTGCAAGCCCAGCAGTGCTGGAATGTGTGCTCTGCAGTTAGCAAGGTGTCCCTTTGCTTTATGTAGTTATCTTTTTTTTCTTTTGGTTATTATGCATTCTCTGCTCTGCAAAATCAGCCCAACGTGGCAGGATGTTGTCAGATGGCATTACTTTGCTTTCCTGTGTGTCTGTTGTGACCCATGGAGAAGCAGCTGCAGATACACTTTATACAGTGGGGGAAGGTGAATGGGATCCCCCAGACCAGGGGGCAGGAGCAGCTTTGTGCAGGAGTGCTGGAGAACACTGAAATAATGAAAACGAGTGGAAAACAATGCAAATGGTACTGGGAGAATGTTAATATTTGTTATTTAATTGTAGAAACCTCAGTTACGCTGTTCATTTTTGCTTTTTTCCTTTGTTTTTTTTGCCTTCGGCTGACCTCTGCTTGCTGGTTTGGTGCTCTGTTCCCTGGAGGTTTTGGGCTGTCGCTCACACTCACAGCACTGGGTGATGTCGGCGCTCTGACCTCATTTTGGGAACCCATTAAATGATGGTTCCTTTGTGCAAGGCTTCAAACTCAGCACCAAGCCTTGTTGCTTAGCAATTGCAAAGTTTCCTCAGGCCTGGGATGGTGGAGCAGAAGCTAGTTGCACAATTAAGGTTAATTATCCAGGAAGGTAACTACCTGTGGCTGCAGTGCTGTCGCAACAATCTCTCTTCTCCCATTCCCACCCTCCTCATCTCTGGGATAGAAGGATGCATTGGTGGGAGATGTGTGCAGGCTCCAAGGGTTTTGCATGGGAAGTGATGTGAGAGTTTGCTCTTTTATATGAAAATACCCAAATGGTTCCCAGCTGTGCTCCAAGTGCTCTTAGGACCGGGGGTCCCTCAGCCTGCGGGTGGGTTTTGGCTGCAGATGGAACTCTCTTTTGCCTCTTTGTAAATAAAGAAGGAAACCCCAGGTGCTTTTCCAGGCTCTCTTTTGGTGCTGTGCTTGGTAAGAAGAACGGTGAAAGGAAATGAAGGCATTTGGGGGCAGTTTGTTGGCACACAATGGGCACACACACCTGCTGCGTTCTCTTGATGAGCCATTTGCTGCCTTTGCTTTCCGAGCGCTGCAAAGGGAGCCCTGCAGGCAACCCCTCCTTCCATCACCGATTCCCCCACGCTTCGGAGGCGTGGAGGGTTTCATTTTGAAGGTACAAAGAGCTTGGCGGGACGTGGGCTGCGTGCAGACAGATGCTATCGGCTAAGCGCCAGACCAAGTGCCAGACAGCGCCCCGGGGCTGTGGGACCGCACAGCGCTGCGTTCAGGGTCAGTGGGATCCAGGGGGTGAGCGCTGCCCTACAACTCCCCGATCGGGCTGTGAGAGCCGAGCTGTAATCAGCAGCCGCTGCCCCGTGGGCGTCTCCGTTCTTTGCATGCGGCCGCGCAGCGCTCAGCCACAGCCGCGCACCGGGAAGGAGCAGCCAGGAAGTAAATTCACTCCTTTCATTTACAGTGCCAGACGTCCTACAAGGAGAGAACTCCTCCACCCAAATTTGCTTTGAAATGTTTTCCATTAGCCCCGCTCACATTGGGAGTTAAAAGCAGGGAAGCTGACTTTATGTGAGAATAAAGTCAGACCCTGTGCTCGTGTAATCATGCAATATAACTCTCTGTGGCAGCTAACGAATGTAAATTTCTGTATCTGTTATTAAGTGAAGATAATAACTGAGCGCTTTTTCTTTTTTGTAAATGCTCAAAAGCCCTTTTAATTTCAGAGCAATTAAAAAAAAAGTAAGAGTAACTCACGTATTATTATTGAAATCCCCGAGAGAGAATTTTATGTGGGAACTGCAGAGCAAAGAAGTTCAGATCAGATGGGCTGAATCCCTGCAGCCAGGGAAGCTCCAGTGAATTCTGCCTTGCTGAGTACAAGGGCACAACGAAGGGTATCAGCAATGCCCTGGGTACCCCTCACTGTAGTTAATGACAGACTCACTCATGGAAAGAATGTGAGCCCCTGCTGTGAGCTGGCAGCTGCCGGGCTGAGAACACGGGGAGATGTTAATGATGATGGGCTTTTACACACAGGATTATTATTTTTTTTTCTTTCTGGCTCACAAATTAATTTTTTTTTTTTTTCCCATCGTGGGCTCTCCAGCCCTGTTGTTCCACTAGGCTGAAGAATGTGGTAGTTTTATAATGAAGGCTCCCCCCCCACCCCACCTCACCCCACTACCCTGAGACCCGTTCAAAGCTGCCAAACTCAGATTACTTGTGACCTAAATGGGATATAAATCCCATTCCCCAGAGAGGAGGAGTTGTTGCAACAAACCACAAAGCAAAACTGGAACAGGCACAATTAATTCCCTGCCAGACTGAAACCTTTTGCAGTTCCACAGGACAGAAGTAGAAGTAACATTAGCAGAAGGCAGCTAAATGCAAGCAAGTGGAGGGTGCTCAGTTTGCAGAACTCTGTGAGAATGGAAAGTATACATCTGCTGTATTTTATGTCAAATCTTACTGGACCTTTGCATATATGGATTTTGTGTCTGGTTCTGGCTGCCTGTATTTTGCTGTAGCTTCCCTTTCCCGTTTTTATTCAACTTGGTAAGTTCTCAAACTGCATCTGGCAGAGCTTCCTCTTTTGTGTGCGTGCAGTTGCTTGAGGCCTCTCCTTGTTCCAGTGCTGCACGCACTCTGTGCCATGGCTGAAGTTCTCAGGTTCTTTTATTTCCAAAGCAAAATAGTTTATCCATAGTTTTTCTTCAATTCACTTCAAACATGCTTTTGAAGTAGCTACTGGGAAGGAGAAACAGTACCTGCTGTAACTCTGAGTTCTGCCTACGCAGCAGCTGATACGACCATACAAACCAAAACCTCAACCAAAAGATCCCCAAACCTATTTCTCTCACAGTATGTGGACAATATTACTTTTACATCCTGAATTTATTTCTGCTGTACTGTGGCTTTTCCAGCCTGAAAGAGAGGAAAGTGACATTCTTCAGAAGGGTACAGTCTCTCTGCTAGATCTTACTCAGCTTCCATGTGTAGCAAATGCATATGGGGATAAGCAAATAATTAGAATTTGAGCTTGTCACTTCCCCTCTATAACACTGTTAGTTTTCAGCTTTAAATGTCTGCTAAACCACCACACAAAATCACAGGCTGGAGGCCTGCATCTCTGTCTGCAGAGTACTAACATCAAAAATAAGTGGAGTCAGCTCTTTCCAGACTTTATTAATTTGACCACTTGTGTTTGCAAAGTCTGAGTTGTCAAACTTATCACTTGAGAGGAAAAAAGCTCAGATTGTTTTAAACGAGCAAAATATATACCCAATTTTGTGTCCAACGTATGTACAGAGGAATTAACAGGAACAATTGTTCTGCAGGTTAAGTTATAGCTTTGTAAATCCATATTTGTGCAACGCAGAAGTCCTCAAGTGGAGTTTGTTCTGATGCTTTGAAGCAAGAGGAGGAGTCCATCTCCAGTGAGATCCGGGGAACCACTCTGGTTCTGCTCAGTACACAGTGCACCAATTGCTGCCATCGCTGGGCATCAGCCCCCCAGTGATGAGGAGGATCAGATCCACAAACCACCAGATCCCGAGACCTCCCAGAGTCAGCAGCTTCCCCACAGCAGTGCCCGTGTGGCCGAGGCAGAAGCGATCCACACCGAAGCAGCCCAGGAAAAACGAGTAGAGCAAAGTAGTGATGAAGTAATGGCCGGTGTACCTGCAGCAGGTGGCCAGGGGAGGGTTGGGGGGGAGGGCAGCCAACCTCTGCCCCCCACCCCGAGGCTGCCTGAGCCCAGTCTCGGCTGTGACTCGCTCCAGAAGAGCCCCTACCTGACGCAGGGCCGGCTGCCCCGCAGGAAGCTCCGCGGCTCGGCACATTCGATGCCGTCCAGGGCCCGGCACTGCACCCGCGTGTGATCCACATCGCCGTGTGCCTGTCCGCCGAACTGGACGGGGAGCAGAGGGGGGGACACTGAGCTCAGCCCTCAGCCGGCCCCCGCCACCCCCGGCCCGGCCCTCACCTTTACACAGCCGTGGCCCAGCTCCTGCTGCGCCGTCGCGTTCCCGCCGTGGTCCACGGGCTCGTCGCACTCCACGAACTCCTCGGGGCTGCGGGGGAGGAGGAAGCGGTGAAGGCCGCGCCGCGGGGCCTTCTCTCCGCGCGAGGCCCGGCCCGGCGCTCACAGGTACGTGCAGAGGACGAGAGGCGCCTGCGGATCGCTGTAGGCCCAGGTGGCGGCAGGCGGCTCCGGGCCCGGCGGCTCCGGCTCGCTGCCGTTGTGCGGTAGGCCGCGCGAGGCGCCGTGCAGCAGCAGCAGGTTGCCGAGCAGCAGCACCGCCTGTCCGCACAGCAGCGCGTAGCCCAGCGGCCCGCCGCGCCGCGGCGCCATGGCGGCGCCCGCTGCTAGGAAACGCCGCTCCCGCCTACCCAGCTCTTCCGTCCCCGCCGCTTCCGTCGCGCTGCCGACAACCAATAGGAGAACGTGTTCTTAGCTCGAGAGGCGGGAGACCGTCGTCAGCAACGAATCAGAGCTAAGCCGGAAGGAGGCGAAGAGATGCGGAAGTACACATAGACCCGGAAGTGATTGATCGCTTCCGGCGTCGCGGCAGCCAATCGGAAAAGAGCGAGGGCGGGTCGAGGGAGGAGCCCGCTTCTTTTAAAGCGGCCGCGGCGGTGTGAGGGCGTGGTGAGGTTTCGTTTGTGGTGCTTTGGGTTTGTGATCCCGGCCTTCTCGGTCTGTGGGTGCGTTTCCTCAAGGTGTGTGGTTCTTCTTTACTATGAGAGAGTGGTGAGGTGCTGGAACAGCTGCCCAGAGAGGCTGTGGATGCCCCGTCCATCCCTGGAGGTGTTCAAGGCCAGGTTGGATGGGGCCCTGGGCAGCCTGGGCTGCTCTGAAATGTGGAGGTTGGTGGCCCTGCGTGTGGCAGGGGGTTGGAGCTTCGTGATCCTCGAGGTCCCTTCCAACCCTGGTCGTTCTGTGGTGCTGTGTCAAACAGCTCTGGCCAAGCACTCTGTTTTTTATTCGTCACAGTGCTGTGTGGGAAACACCTTTAACCGGTTCCAGTTCTGCTCCCACTCCCCCCTCGTTAGCAGGGCAGTGCAAGAGGCTGAATTGTCCTTAATTACTGTAAGCCCTGCTCTGCAGCAGCTAAAATACCAGTGCGTTACCAATGTTATTGTCCCTATCTATTTGTTTTGGGGTGGATTTCTTTCTGTTTTTTTGCATGCAGTTAATAAAAGTCAGAATTAAATACGTTTAACTACGTTCCAAATTTCAGAGTGTGAAGCAGGGTGGGGAACTGCAATATCCTCCTTTCCACTGCTACTGTGCAGCCCACCCCACCTGCATGATGCTGTGAATTTAGCAGCAGCCGGTGTGGTCACACAATGGTTTCACCTGGCTTAGAATACAAAGCATGGCAATGGCCATCCTGCTGGGTCCTACAAGGGTCGTGAACCTCAGGCACTAAATAGACATGGAGGCAACTCTGCAGTGCCCTCAGCTGGGATTTTGCAGAAGGAGAAACACTGACCTGCTGGAGCACATCCAGAGGAAGCTAAATAAAAATGCTTCAAGGGATGGAACTTCTCCCTTTGAGGATGGGCTGAGTGAGCTGGGGCTGTGCAGCCTGGAAAAGAGAAAGCTCCAGGGAGACATGAGAGCAACCCTTCAGTAACTAATAGGGGCTGTAAGAAAGAAGGAGACAGACTTTTTAATAGGGGCTGTTTTGATAGGACAAGGGAAATGATTTCAAACTAAAAGAAGGGAGATTTAGACTGGATATAAGGAAAACATTATTTTGTGGTAAGGGTAGTGCAGCACTGGCACAGGTTGCCCAGAGAGGTGGTTGTTGTCCTGTTCCTGCAGACACCCAAATTCAGGCTGGATGGGGCTCTGAGCATCTGATGGAGCTGTGGGTGTCCTTGCTCATTGCAAGGGGGTTGGACAAGGTGGCCTTTAAGGGTCTCTTCCAACTCAATTGATTCTATGATTCTATCTAGAACGTGGTGCTGTAGCAGCTACTGGAAGAAAAATAACTCTGTCTCAGCCATAAACAGGACAGAGCCTTCCAAATGGCTCTATCAGTATGTTGAAGGTTGCATAACACATCTGTGAACTCACTGGGGTGTGACTTTGGAAATGTCTTGAAGATAAATGGGGACCCAGTGCTTTCATTGTGCTTCTCATTAGTTAGGAAAGCATCTGAGGCAGTCAGCTGGTAGAATCTGTGTATCTCAGCTTCCAGTGCCCCTGGTACAGAGAGGTTGCCATTGGGAGACTCCTTTGGCCCTTCTCTATTATGCCTAGAGGTGTAGAAATCACTCTTTAAGGGCTTTCTGAATGAAACTTGGGGATTAACTGAAGCGTGCTCAGCAGTATAAAGGTAGAGGGTTGGAGATGAAGATCCTGCTATTCACCCTCTAAATCTGCTGCTCTCTTTTTCCCTCAGTATCCTTCTCCAGAGGAATACCAAATTTGATCTCTCACTCCCCAATGCTTTGAGGTCTTTAGATTGGAAATGCTGAGCACGCTTTGAGGCAGGTACGTGGCATTCATTAACTCCAGTTGGAGGCTGGGCAAAGGATATAATTTGATAAGAATGTATTTGGGAAACAGAGCCATTACCAATGTTTGTAGGTGCCAGTCAGGCAGTGATCACTCAGCTAGTGTTAAGGAGCGTGCTTCCTAAGCCAGCTGGATTGTTGCTGGTGATGTCAGGAAAGTCCTGACTGCATCCAGAGTCCTTAATTTGTTTTCTCTGCAGTGTTTATAAACAAACACCATGCACCTGGCACGTGGAGAGGATGTGGAAGCAGCAGGACTGAGGTTGTAGAGAGAACATGACACGTCTGACTTTGCTATTTAAAAACACTGTTATAAATTTAGCTGGTTTAGTTGGATTCCTTGTGGCCTTCACTCTGACTAAGATAAATGTTTGTCATTCAATGAGAGAGGGACTGCAATGCCCAGTCCTATCAGGGGGGTTTCTGGGAAATTTCTTTTCTTGCAAAGAATTATGGAAATAACTGACAAATGGCACACCTCGTTTGAGGAATTTGTTCTGTGTCTTCTCCCATCCCCTTGCTCTCTGCTTAAGCACAGGACTCACTGAACTGCTATTCTGCAGTGTCTATTGTCCAGCTCCCAAAGGCTCAATGGGCCCACAGGTATCCATATAGGCAAGATTGATTCCAGAGCTGGCAGGTTCACATTTGGCCCAAAACATGTGGTTCAAATCCTTCCCACCTCCTTTCTGGTTTGTTTCTGCAGTTCGAGGCTTTGAGGTGTGTTTCTGTATTGCAGGGCTGGAACAGCAGTGGTGAACAGCAGGAGAAGTCAAAGGAGATGTGTACAGCTCTTGCTAAATGCAAAGCTGGGAATCTCATGCCCCTCAGGCAGGAACCACTTTTTCATGGTATGATTCATATTTGTGTGTTATTTGTACTATGCACAGTGATAACTGTGATCTGTGATAAGATCATAATCCCTGGGAAGCCTTATGTACCTCAGGGAAGGTATAAGCCTGGCTTATGAGCAGCACTGGATATTACCTGACTCAGAAGTCATGCACAACTTCTATGGAGGTTGAAGATGTATATCCTGTATCCCACACGGTGTTTTTCCTAACATCAGGCTGGAATAAAATTTTCTGCCTTACCTTGCAGAATTATGTTACTTACTGTGCTGGCTTTCTGTCTCACTTTGTGCTGTGGTCCATTAGAGTAAGTAAAACTGGCTTCAGGAAGCAGAGTTGTTTCCTCCTTCCCACAGGAACAGGAGGTTATCTGCTTGCTAGAGGCTCCAGGGAAAGAAACCCGAGTCAGAGGTTGTCTTCTCACAGCTCTGGAAAAAAATGGCTGTAGATTTCTGGAATGTGAAGGGCCAAGCAGCCCTGCTCCTTAACTGTTCACTGCAGCAACAGCAGTACAAGCTTCCTCCTGTACCTTCCAAGAACTCATCATTAGGCCAGAAGAGAAGGCTTGCTCCAGTTGGTCAGGTGTTTATTCACATGCACTCAAAAGCTATTTTTAAAACACCATAAATATCAGCCAGACCCGTGAGAGTGTGGGTGTGTGCAGGCATACGCTGTTTATACTACAGCATGCTCTGTCTACTATACTGCAGCTTCTCCACAACCTGCTCAGTGACGTGAGTAATTTATCACATGTTGTTTATGCCATCTGCTCTCAGAGGAAGGCACTGCGCTGTGTTTTGGAGAGGTGTTTAATGCGTAGCTGTGCTATCAGAGGCAGTGATGCTCTGAGCGGAAGGCAGTAAGCTCTGACGGTGTTTCATTCTGGAGTTTATTTCCCTTACTCACCTGTATCATGTGGGATCAGAGTGGAATGCTAATGTGAAGCTTTATCTCCATGTGCTTCACACTATAATGCAGGTGATTGTTTTTTCTCTAAGAAATGTAGTCCAAACTCTAAAGCTGGATTCTGGCAGTCCTTGTCACAGGAGGAGGTGGACAGATGTTCCTCCTCAATCAGCAGAACCCTTCCAGAGCCATGGTGCTGCTCCATGTGGCTGAGGTCAGCTCAGCTCAGCCCCGTGCTGCAGGGCTTCAGTGCTGAGCTCTCATTCCAGCAGTGCTGCTGTGGGTGGCACAGTGCAGCTCTCATCAATGCCACACTCCTGCCCTGCAGCCTGGCTGTGTAAGCATTTCTAAGCACTTTCTGTGCAAGATTTGCACAACTTCTTACAGGGATGTGCTTCAGGCACATCGAGCCCAAAGCTGTTGCTGCTGTCAGCTTGTGTGGGGCAGCTCTCAGACACATTGATCCCATCAGGCAGCCAGCTGAGTGCTTTACCTGCATTACAGTGTGAAGCACGTGGAGATAAAGCACACATTAGCATTCCTCTCTGATCCCACATGATACAGGTGAGTAAGGGAAATAAACTCCAGAATGAAACACCGTCAGAGTTTACTACCTTCTGCTCAGAGCATCACATCTGTGACTGCCTCTGGTAGCACAGCTACGCATTAAACACCTCTCCAAAACACAGCTGAGCTAAGTGTAGAACACTGACATCTCATACATAAGCTGGTTTTGGGACCAACTGTCTGTGTCCTCGGGTTCCTGGAGCCCTCCATCTGGCCCCTCACTGCAAGAAAGACATTGAGGCCCTGCAGTGGGTTCAAAGGAGGGCAACAAAGCTGGTGAGGGGTCTGAAACACAGGCCTGATGAGGAGTGGCTGAAGGAGCTGGGGTTGTTCAGTCTGGAGAAGAGGAGGCTCAGGGAAGACCATATTGCTCTCCATAACTACCTGAAGGGAGGTTGTAGTGAGCTGGGGGTTGGCCTCTTCTCTTGTGTAACTGGTGATAGAATCAGAAGGAATGGCTTCAAGCTGCACCAGGAGAGATTTAGGCTGGACGTCAGGAAATTCTGCTTCTCTGAAAGAGTGGTCAGACACTGGAATGGGCTGCGCAGGGAGGTGGTGGAGTCACCAACCCTGGAGGTGTTCAAGGAACGTTTGGATTTTGCGTTGAGGGACATAGTTTAGTGATTCCTATTGGTGACAGGCAGCCGGTTGGACCGGATGATCTTGGAGGTCTTTTCCAACCTTGTTGTTTCTCTCATCCAGCTGTGCTTTTGCAGACCTCCCCACGCCGCGCATCCCGCAGCCTTTGAGCTCCAAACCCGCAGCCGGGGCTTCGCAGTGCGAATCAACACCAGCCCCGACAAACGACCGCTGCCCCCGGGGTCCGCCCCGTCTCCGCCGTGCTGCAGGCGGCGGGCGGAGCAGCCCCGCCCGGGGGGCGGTGCAGCGCAGGCTTCGGCCCGGCTGCATAAGCCCGGCGCTCTGCCCGCTCCGAGATCCGCACGGCCGACGCGGGGCACGATGGCTTGGGCGGCACGGAGCTGCCCCTGCCTTCCCCTCCTCCTTCTCCTCCTGCTGCTGCTGGCCGCGCCCGCCCTGCCGGGCCCCGCGGGTGAGTGCGGGACGCGACCCCGGGGTGGAGCGAAACGAAGCGGCCTCTGCGGCCCGGGAGACGCGGGGATTCTGTTTTTTTTTCCCTGCCCGACTCCGGGGTGACGGTTGTTGGGTTGCGCTGCGGGCTTTTGTCGTGGGAAAGGTGGAGCGTGGGGGTCTGAGCTGCTGGGGCTGCTCGCCGTCACCTTGCGCAGCCTGGGAGGGATGCTGGGAGGGATGTTTGTGTTCGGGCTGCAGGTGATTGCTGGTCCATGGGGAATCGTGGGTCTGGATGGGCAGCGTGGTCACAGCCCTTCCAGAAGCACTCGGCGAGCAGAGAATCACAGAATGGCCAAGGGTTGGAAGGGACCTCAAGGATCACGAAGCTCCAACCCACTGCCACACGCAGGGCCACCAACTTCCACATTTCATAGCAGCCCAGGCTGCCCAGGGCCCCATCCAACCTGGCCTTGAACACCTCCAGGGATGGACAGGGCATCCACAGCCTCTCTGGGCAGCCTGTTAAATAGCGGATACAACAGTGCTGCTGCCCAGCTTGGAGGATTCTTGTGCTGTCCTGCATGGAGGTGACCATACAGCCGTGGTGTCTACGCTGCATTCGGGATCATAGAATCATAGAATGGCCCGTGTTGAAAAGGACCACAATGATCATCAAGTTTCAATCCCCCTGCTATGTGCTGGGTCGCCAACCAAAATGATGCAGTGAGATGATGGGGATCCGGCTGTCCTGCTCCTCGTGCACAGCTGCAGCCATGGCTGAAGGCACTGAGGGGCATCACTGGGGGATGGTGGGGGATGGAGGGATCCAAGCAGCTGCTCCTTGTGCAGGATCTCAAGTGCAACACAGTGCAGTTGTGACAACGCAGTGACACCGTGCTTTGTTTATAGGCTTTTAATGAGTTGACACTGTGCTCTGTTATAGTTTCAATTCTTTGAAGCCCTTACTCCATTTATGGACTTCTAATGAATTCAAACTCTGCTCTGGGCTTCAAGGATGCTGATCCTGATGCTCCATGTAGATGATAGGCTAAAATGTTTCATCTGTTGTTGTGCTCTTTCTGTGGAAAGAGTAGCATGTTAAACTTGTGTGTCATGAACACACAGCTTTATTGTCAAGACTTCATAATTGAGAAAGCTTGTCTGAAGCTTATAGTGCTGAAAAATAATACACCTGTGGTCTGAGTGGCTCAGCTGTGAGTTGCTTGCTTAGCACCCAACGTGCTGCTCTGGACTGACTTGGAAGGAGGCTGCTGGCTGGCCCTGCAGCCCCAGGTGTTGCACCCATAGGTGCTGTGTGTACCACAGGCTGCTGCTGGCAGAGGGTTGGTGCTTCCATCCCTGCTGGGATAGGAGGAGCTGCAGGTCAGAGGTGTTACTGGAGGTGTGCAGGCAGTGCTGCTGTGACAGCTGTATCCCAGCTAGTCATCCTCAGGCTGTGACGAAGGATAATAGACCTTTGTCTATTATCATGTCTGAGCTCGGATGGGAGGGGAGAAACAAGTCACCTCCTTCAGCTCATCCACACCTTCAGCTTCTTGGGCTGGGATGTGAGTGCTGTGGCTGCTCCCCAATGAGGTGAGATATGAGGCAGAAATGAGGTGTTGCCGGAAACTGCTAATTAAAAATTCCTGAATTAATGTAATTGTAGAATGGCAGGTGGCCATAAGGGGTTGAGTGTCACACAGCTTTTCCTCTCCCGTTTGTGTCTGTAGAAGACCTCAGCCTTTGGCTGTGTAAATTCATAGAGAACCAAAGCATCACTGCCATAGGCAGGGGCTTTGCTTCTTGCCTCTTGGTCTCTTCTCTGATATCAGGATGGCCTTGCTGCTCTTTATCAGTCTTTAAAGGAATTTTTTAAGTGTCTGAATGCTTGGGTTTAAATTTTAGAAGGAAGTGCATTGTTTGGTTAGGATAATTCTTCAGTTCATGAGAAACACGGCCCTGCCTCCCCTGTGTTTTGAGAGATCTGGGACAATCGTTCTTCAGGGTAAAGAGGTTTTTGTGGTTATTTCTGTGTGAAGAATAAAAAGAGAAAAGAAATATCAGCGTAGCTCACGTCGCTTCTTGTAGCAATTTGTTTCTGGAAAAAGGAAGTTTGAAAGATGACTTTGTAGTTTTTGCCTGTCTTGAATTTCTCATTTCTTAAGATAAAGGAAAAAAAAAAAAAAAAAGTTTATTTGCTCAACTCTACTGAGTTCTATTGTGATTGAATGTGTGCTGCGTGGTTTCCTTTGGAGACCAAACGTAGACAGCAGCGTTTCTGAGAAGATGCATTCCCACGAACCTCTGCTGTGAAGGGAGCTGACATCCAAAGGGCTGCTGAGATCTGGAGGAAGTGAGTGGGCTCTGGGTTCAGCACGGGTGGGAGGGCAGGAGCTCCTGGGCCCCCAGCCTGGGAGAAAGGGTGTCTGGGTGGGCTCTGACGTCTGGCACCGTGGTGTGGCTTTGCTCTGTTTCTCTTCAAAGTGAGGTGTTAGTGGTGATACCAGGAAACGAGAGCAATGGCTCTTCTCACAGAACAAGAGGAGCTGCTGTCCTGCAGACTGATCAGGCTGTGGAGAGGACAGAAGGAGTAGTAGGAGTCTAGGCAGGAAGCACTTACAGCATCAGTTGGGATTTCAGCATGAGGGACATGAGAGCATTCCAGCAAATATTGCCATAGGAATGCTCAGTATCCTCATTAACTTCCAGCACCTCCAGTAAAATGTTAAGAGAAGTTACATTAATCATTCTTGTCTGGTTTAATGCTAAACAAATATTTAATCAAGTGGATGAATGTGCTTCTCTTGCTGTGACAGCTGGTCATCTTTTCCTACCTTCTGAACAGGCTCTGTGACACAAGGAGAGACACGAGGAGACCTGCCTTCCCCTGCACATAACAGGTTGGAGTGTAACACAAGTGATCAATGATTGAGTGTCATTCTGCAGGGACATCTGTGTTCCTGATCACACAGGTCTCTCCTGAAACAGGTGCTGCCTGGCAAAGTCCTTTGTGGTTCTAATAATGGGATACAGAGAATGCTTATTGAAT